AGTCCCAATGCTGCAGATGCTGCCTGTGCACCATGTACCATGAGGGTCTTTCATGTCCCATGAGGGCCTTTCATGTCCCAAGGACAGGGAATTTCCCAAAAGGAAAAGGTGGTTGACTAGCTGGGACACAGCTCCAGAGCTGACATATAGCCTGGAGCAGAAACCTGTGCAGTAGCACAGAGGGAAAAAGAAGGCATAGCTGAAAAGGGTGCCATGGGCAATTTTTGCAATCATCCAGTGTGCCCAAAGGGACAACCTCTGCAACTGAAAGCCAGAAGGACAAACTACCCAAGGACCTGTCAAGGTTTACAAGGAGCCCACCACTTGTAGAAATGGAAGTGCGCCTTCCTGCAAAAGGTATGTCATAGACCTTAGCCAGTCTCTGCCAACAAGTCCTGTAAACAGTCCGATAATCAGGCTCTGGTGGTCTGGGGCACTTACAGCAGAAGTAGATGAAGGACAAGATTTTGCCAGGATTCTTTACTACATGCATCAGTTCTCTCAGAGAAAACAGTAGACACACCAGAACCATTAGGAAAGCATATGCTGGGGTCACTTGTAGCAGTGGGATGGTCCCCTATGTGTCTGTGCAGACATGTTTCAGCTGCATAGCAGTGATGCAACTAGGCCCAAGGTGTAAGGCATGGCATCAGGTACTCACAAAACCAGGCAGCTGATGCTGATGAGCATCAAGCAGCCAGAGGTGACCAGGTCACTGTAGGCAGACCGCAGAAACCAGAGTTTCAAGTGGTGCTTGCAAAGAAATAGCAGCAGTGGGATGGAGCCTCCTCTAAAGTGAGTAGTAGGAAAAATAGCAGAGAGCATGCACCATCAGCATTAACCCTTTCTGCAACAAGAAGAAATTTGAACAATGCCTAATGGTACAATAGCAAGGTATCTCCCAGTGCTTCTGCCAGAAAGGCTAGCCTCGAACATCCAGTCCAGCAGGGTCTGGAACTCCAAAATCAGGCTTCTGAAGGGTCAATTCAGATAGCTGCATTTAGAAAACAGCTCAAGGCATGATGTAATGGGAAATCCTGATTGAAGCCAATAGAAAAAGAATCCAAAGAAAAATAAAGATGTACATAAAGCTAGTTAGACTTGAACAAAGACCTGAAGAAAGACTGCCTATCCTCCTAGAAATCTAGTTTAAAAAATGAGGCATTCTGGGTAGAAGAGGGATTACTCTGTGGATTGGCCACATACACGATATAAAAATGACCATCCTCCCAAAAATTCTATATTACTTCCGAACTTTGCCCGTTCAGGTACCCTCCTTTTGTTTTACACCTACTGCAAAACAGGATTCTCTCTTTTACTTGGGCTTATAAACACCCCAGAGTCTCTCGCTTCACACTGTACACCCATAGCCTCAGAGGAGGCCTGGGGGTCCCCAATGTGGCAAAGTATTATAAAGCAGAACAAATTGCCCAACTTACCCTGCTTCATGCTACCATGGATGTCCCCTTGTGGGTATTCCTGGAACTCCCCAACTGTGCACTTGCCTCTGTGATGGCTCTGTTATGGCTTCATCACAGGCTTCACCCCCCTTCACTTAGCCCTTTAATGCTCCATAGCCTGAAAGTCTGGGATTCAGTCCGCTATGCCGACAACCTCATGTCCCCTTTTATACCCCGTTTACCTCTGGTCAACAATCCTCTCTTTCCTCCAGGTCTTAAACAGCTGGCAACGTTTAGTTGGTGGTCAACCCATGGCTTCATTCAGGTTCGATACTTCCTCACCTCGCATACCTTCCCCCCTTGGCCCTCTATTCGTGAGGCTTATGGCGCGCCACCTACAGTTTTTTTCGCTACGTCTAACTCCGCCATTGTGTATCTTCTCTGAGACGCAACTCTACGTTCCCTTATCGGATCACGGCCTTCAAAACACATCTGTCGGCACTCCCTGGGAGCCTCAGGCACTATTACTCTTATTTACTCCTCTCTGAATACTACAGACTCTCCCTCATCCTTTTCTTACAAGTCTAGCTGGGAGAGAGAACTTGGATCCCCCGCTGACCCGGAGGATTGGAATAAAGCATGGTCTTCTATCGTTCATTGCTGATCTAACATGACCACAATGGAATCTGCATATAAAGTTCTCTTCAGGTGGCACTGGGTCCCTACCCGCATTGCAAGTTCAAACCCCAAGTATGATGATAGATGCTTGAGAGGCTGTGGACAACGGGGTGACGTGGTTCACACCTGGTGGTCGTGTCCACGCCTAACGGGATTCTAGTCCAGGGTTTTTGGCCTCCTATACTCCATATTCCACATCCTCAAGGAAGCTAAACTGGTCCTGTTACATTCTCCGATCCAGGGCTTATTCTCTCACCAAAGAAAACTAGCCACCTACCTGTTCATAGCCGCTAAACGTGTCATCGCCAACGCATGGAAGAAACCATCAGCGTTTTTTCAAATGGTGAAAAACAACCTGACAATCCTGATGTTGCATGAAAAAATGTCCAGTATTTTACACGATTCTCATGCCAAATTCTTGAAAATTTAGAGCCCCTGGTGAACCTATGCCATTTCTACCTTATCCCTATTAGGTTTGGTTATTTCCCGAGTCTTGACTCCTACCCAGGCCTGCAGGAACTTTCATGAGCCCCTCTCCTCGCTCTTCTTCCTCCTGTCCCTTTCCTTCTGCCCTCTTCTCTGTCTTTCCCTACTCATTTTTTTTTTTTATTAAACAAAAAAATAAAAACATTGACGTTGTGGTTTTCCACACTTATTTTATTGAGCCCCCAGGACTAGATCCTGGGTCATTTAAGCAGGCCTATGGCCTAACTTGTCAGACTGCACTGTAAAGATTTTTACTGTAAACAAAGTTGTTGTAGCTATCGCCCAGCTTGTCATCTATTTTTTGCCTTAAACCCCTGTATGAGCGACCAGTTGTATTGCTGTGCTGTATATTCTAATAAAAATATTGAACCAGAAGAGGGATTATTCTGGTCTTGTCTACAGTTTTTTGTTCCTGATTGCATTAGTAGAAGCCAACAGTACTCGAGTTCTTGTTTCCCTTAACAGACGAGAAAGAAAGCAAAACCTCCTCTGTTCCATAACACTGCCAACACCCCTTATGGATCCCCTGGAGACCTACTGTATGTGAGCTCCCCAATTATGATCAATAACCTACTATGATTACCCACTGACAAAAGACATACTGATAATTCAATCTTACTCCACTCTCTAAAATTGTGGGATCAAACTAAAGCAGCAGGGAAGCACTCTGTTGGGTATTTCTAACCCATTGACCTTTTTTTTTGATGGGTTACACAAAGCTTCACCACTTTTTATGCTCGGTTCCAGTCCTATCATTTGATCATTAAACAGAAAAATATCACGTTCCACCTAGAGACATTTTAAAATACTTCCAAATCAAACTTTTTACCCTCCATCATCACCAGAAACAACTCCCAATTCTTTATACCATTTTTGAACAATTATGTCCATTCACAGTAAAAGGCAAATGCAGAGCCAGGCCCAAGGAACAAACGCTGTTCCAGCCAAGCAAAAAGAGAGTTATGCTGTTAAACCTAAAAGGTATCTATTAACCACTTGAGCTCCTGAGGATTTACCCCCCTTAATGACCAGGCCTCTTTTTGCTACTCGGCACTGCACTAATTCAACTGATAATTGCGCGGTCATACAATGCTGCACCCAACGAAATTTACGTCCTTTTTTTCACACAAATAGAGCTTTCTTTCGGTGTAATTTGATCATCTGTGCGCTTTTTATTTTTCACGCTATAAACAAAAAAAGGCCAAAAATTTTGAAGAAAAACAATATTTTTTACTTTCTGCTATAAAAAATATATAGTAAACTCAAAGTTGGTTATAAATTTTGGCCAAAATGTATTCTGCTCCATGTTTTTGGTAAAAAAAAATCCCAATAAGTGTATATTGATTGCTTTGTGTGGAAGTTATAGCATCTACAATCTATGGTATAAATACTGCAATTTACACCATTTTTCTGCTATACAGCGCTGCGCTAGTTTAACGGACAATTGCGCGGTCATGCAATATGGTACATAAATGAAATTTACATCCTTTTTTTCCCCACAAATTGAGCTTTCTTTTGGTGGTATTTGATCGCCTGTGCGGTTTTTATTTTGTGCGCTATAAAAAAAAAGGCTGACAATTTTGAGGAAAAAAAAATACAATATTTTGGACTTTTTGCTATAAAACATGTCCAGTAAAAAAAAAATGCAAAAATCAAATTTAGTCATAAATTTCTGCCAAAATGCATTCTGCGACATGTCTTTGCTAAAAAAAAAAACCCGATACGTGTAAATTAATTGGTTTACATGAAAGTTATAGCGTTTACAAAATGGCGGGAAAGATACTGGGATTTTTAATTTTTTATTTATACTAATAATGGCGCCGATCAGCGACATATAGCGGCAATCAGCGACATATGGCGGCGACCAGCGACTTATGGCGGGACTGCGGTGGACATTTTGACACTGGGGGGGGGGGAGGGGGGACTGACTTGGGGTCACTGACATCCCCAGTGACACCAATACAGTGATCAGTGAAAAAAAAAACCACTGAAACTGTACTAATGTCACTGGGGAGGAAGGGGTTAACATTTTTAGAATTTGCTGTGTAAGGGGAGTGTTTTACTAGGGGGCGGGGGTGTGTACTGGACGGGGGAGGGAGGGGGGGGAGCTGATCAAGGGAGAGAAAGTCTTCTCTCCCTCTGCAGCTTGTCGGCGAACTGTCACAGAGCAGGCTGTGTGTAAACAATGCAGCCCTGCTCTGTGTCAGTGATTAAAACCGTCAGTGTAAAAACCGGCCGTGACCCGGCGGCGGAGACCCGCTGCTTACACCCGCGGGACAGGCAGGGCGGGCGCGCGGCCCCTACCTGTGTTGAAGGCAGCCGTTTTAAAATGTGCTTTTGCCTACGAGCACCGCCCTGCCACTGTTTATGTTCAAAAACATACTACATATAAAACCAGAGATTGTCTATCACGACAATAAACACTATGCAATTTACCTGCAGGGAACAGAGCACTGAAGAAATTCCACCATCTTTTGTGCGTGCTGCTTAGATGCATAATAGAAGTCCAGCCCCTCTATAAAAGAATATAACAGGTTAGCAACACTTGGCTGTACCAATTCTCATACAACAGGCGTACTAGCAAACAAAAATAGAAAAGATGTGACCTATGAAAAAAAAAAAAAAATTTTTTTTTTAACAGTAAGTGTCCACTAAGAGTTACTTTGAATAAAAAAAAAAAAAAAAAAAAAAAAAAACGAACATGGGGATGCCAGCACATACTTTTGAAAGTTTATCTACTGGTGTGGCATGTGTATAATTAGACATCTAACATAATGATTCCAAGTTAAAGTGGGAGTAAATTCCACTGGACACTTGTACCTACAGGTAAGCGTATAATAAAGCTAACCTGTAGGTACAAGGAATCTCTCTTAAATATGCACTGTTTAAGAGCTAATAAGTGTCCCTGTAGCCGATGACATCCCTGGAGCATGCGCTCTGCAGGAACAGCATACTCATACCGCTCCTTCAGACCTCTGCTCCGCGGCCCAGAAACAGGGGAGTGACGTCATCATGGCACAGCCAATTAAGAGGCCAGAGCTGCAAACCCACAAGGAAGACCGGGTAAGGATGGAAGCCTTGTCAGCAGTAACAGCGTGCTGCTGGAGGGCTTCATTTTAAGGCAAGTCTTTCATAATGTGCTAGTATGCAATACATACTCATCTGCATCTTTTGTGAGTCTGATTCCAACCAGAGAATTATCTACATGTCTCATATTATTCAAGTATTTTCTGTAAGTGCTTTGATTTCCTTCTGCAATCTAATAACATACTGTTTCCTAAGCTGTACCTACCCAGAACCTGCTTTTGTTTAAAATAACTTATCTTGAAAAGCTATGTATGGAACATGTAATGATTTACATAAGTTGAAGCTGCACTGGACAGATGATAGAAGTAAAAAAGTGAGGTGCAGACAAATGGCTTAATACAAAAAATAAATATACATGACGTTACCCTTGGCAAAACAATGTTTTAATTCTGTTTAACATTGTAAGCCAAGCAGCTGCAGCTGACAAAACAGCCAGGTCCTGAATCACCCTGCACACTACTAACTGTAGTTAGGCAATGTAGCCTGGTACAGGACCCACCTTAACCTGCTCATTGGACAGCGAAGTTGGCAATCATACACTGATGTGGTCATACCCGTGCCTCCCCATTCTTTTAGACTACAAACACTGAGCAAAGCAATGAAGACCTGATTGGCTCAGGACGTTGGCACTCTCACTGACAGCTTGTGTGCTACAGTGAAAGCAACTGTGGGAGGCAGAAAGTAAGACAGTTCATACACTTGTATGCAAAAATAACAATGGTAGTATTTACTTTACTGACAAAAAAAGTAAATAACATTGATTATCTCATTACAATGGCACCTGAACCTTGGTAGGATATATTAGGCAGCAAGTGAACATGTTGTCCCTGAAGTTTATGCATTGAAAGCATAAAAAAATTGGCAAGCAGAAGGATTTGAGCAACTTTAATAATGGCCAAATTGTAATAGCTAGACAACTGGGTCAGAGCATCTCCAGTTGACTGCAGTGTGCGATTTTCCCAGTCAGCAGTGGTCAGGACCTAAAAAAAATAGTCCAAGAAAGGAAAAAACTAGTAGCAGGGTCATGGGCAGCCAATGCTCATCAATGCATGTGGGGAGCGAAGGCTGGCCCGTGTAGTCTGATCAAATAGAAGAACTACTGTATCTTAAGTTCATACCAATTCTGAATGAAAGGTGTCAGATCACACAGTGTGTTGCTTACGGGGCTGCAAAGCTGCAAACCAATCAGAGTGTGCATGTTGCCCCGTGTCCACAGCCAAAAGCACCTACAATTAGCACGTGAGCATCAGAACTGGACCAAAGATCAATGGAAGATGGCGTCTTTGTGGTTTTGACTTTGCCTCCAAATTCTCCAGATCTGTGCTAAAAATCACCTCCGCTCCATAGAGGCCACACTTCGCAACTTACAAGACTTAAGAGGATCTGCTACTGATGGCTTGGTGCCAGATATCACAACATACCTTTAGAGCTCTAGTGGAGTGCATGCCTCAATGGGTCAGGACTGTCTTGGTAATAAAAGGGGGAATCTGCTCAACATTAGATGGGTGGTCATAATGTTATGGCTGATTGGTGTAATTGTATTACCCTACTAGACCTACACCCCAGTATCACAAGCATGGCCTCTTTCCGTACAGATTTGTTTAATACTCTCACGACACAGTAATCCAACATAATTATATTTGGACCGTTTAGTTGGAGAAGATGGGTTAATGCGCTTTTTTTTTTTACAAGATCAGATTAAATACATGCGCTAAACCATATATCAATAATGGTAATTAGAACAAAAAAGCATTACCATGTATTTCTTTGACACGTAGAGTGTTCTGGTGAAGTCTGTGTTTCAAAATAGTTTGTTCCAAATAATAGAAAGTCTTCTTATGAAGAACCTGAAGAACAAAAAAAGGGAAAACAATGTAAACATAATTCAACGCTTATCTTTTATTTAATGTGAAGATAATAAAGGTTTAGCTTTCAAATATTCCCTTTACACCAAAAACCGGTAGGAGATGTAGGAGAGGGGCACTTTGTTTTTCAGTCTAATCTTAGAATTTAAACAAAATGGCATATTGCTCGGATTACTGCTCAAAACCTCATTTGACAAATGTGCCAGGCTTTCCTTGAATGCATCATTCACACAGTAAAAATGGATTTGAACTTAGATGACACTTCAAGGCCAAGACTGGCACTTGTTAATTAGGCAAAGTTGAAGTCATAGGCATATCGTGTAGTGTCCATTAACTTGTGCTCCCACTACACATCTACAAATAGTCTGTGTCTCATCAATTCCCAGCATTAACAATATCAGATTAAAGGGAGGACTATATGTTTGATGCCATGTGTTTGTCTAGTTGCCATGGTAGTGACGTCCAGCAATGAATCCCATAGAGACATATGAAGATGAGAAACCAGATGTCACTGAAAAGCAGGACACAGAAAATGAATGGCTGCTGATACTACATTTGGTAGCATGGATGATATAAAAGTATTCAATCCTGGACATTCAACACAAAAGGTCTTCTAAAGCCACAGACACATTCATTTCGTACAGTTCCTTCATCATAACCACACTACTATCTAATAGCTCCTTTCTGTAATGCAACTACTGTGCGCAGTCCACATGAAATGTCTCCTGACCTTTAAAAAGAGACATCAGAAAGCTGCATTACCACTTTATACATCAAAAAGTACAATAATCACTGTTCCTGCACGAGAGAAGGAGAAATGACAGCTCCCACATTTTCCAGGAAATTTACCAGGTAACACCTTCTCCAGGTATTTGGCAGTTCATGACTTCTCTCACTGTAACCACAACGCCACAACATTTGTTTTAAACACCCCAAAGACCACACAGGTCATGCAACACTGTGCCCAAACTAAATTGTTATCAGCTTTTTGAGACAAATAGAGCTTTCTTTTGGTGGTATTTAATCACCACTGGAGTTTTTAGTTTTTGCTTAACAAAAAAAGACCAACAAGTTTGAAAAAAACAACGTTTCTGTTATAAAGTTTTGTAAATAGGTGATTTTTCTTCTTCACTCATGTGCACTGATGAGGTTGCACCAATATGTGGCCTTGATGGGCACTGATAGGTGGCACTGAGGGACTAAGAGCCAGCTCTGATGGGCACTGATGGCCACTACTGGCCGCACTGATGGGGCTACATTTATCAGTGTAGATGTCCCCCTGAGAAATATCGCTTACCGACTCTCCTCTCCTCATGCCCTGTCAGTGTGAGGAGAGGACTGCCAATAACCAGCATTTCCTATTTACACTGTGATCAGCTGTGACTGGACACAGCTGATCACATGGTAAAAGGGGGCTCTGATTGGCCCTTTACCTGGACACGTGATCAGCTGTGTGTGTAACCGCGTTTTAGGTCAGTACTTTTGCAAGCATACACCACTGTCCCTTATTTAAAAAAAAGCTAGAAGAACTTTTACATGCAAGTACCCGTACGAGCATGGACAAATGCTATACAGCCCATCCTTGTGTTTTTTCTACCTGGAATTTCTGATGTTCATACAACAGTACAGTGTGCAAGTAACCTTAGTGTAGTTACATTCTCTGTGTCATTTGCCTTACCTTGTAATGACCTCACGTGTCACAGCTTGTCAAAGCATCCAGTGCATGCCTCGCCATTCCTTCTGTGTTGCATCACAATATGGGAGTGCTAACGTGAAGAAATACTGTACATCATCTCTTAGCTGCGTGAGCTCTGTATCTGAATGCTCTGCCTGTTTGTGTCTGAGTTAGATCTGATTACTGTGTAGCTTTCACTTGCAAAAGCACTAGATTAAGAAATCCAGGGCCTGTGGGATATATAGTTTCTCCACAGGAAGTGTCAGGTCTCACACTACATAGGTCATGCATTAATCTGTGCAGTGTCATGCCACATGCCTTCATGTTTCAACCCAAACTGAAACTACTGACACGGAATGTGTCGACCTATAGAAAATATAGGGTATTGAAGTTCGTCACCATGTCACAAATTTAAGAAAAAAAATAAGGAAACCTCACGGCGGGGCAGCACGGAGAGGCCAGCACTGTGTGAAAGCAATCAGCGGCAGCGCTGCTGCCGATTGCTTCACCTGACAGGTGAGCTCGCTGCTTGCCCGCAGCAGGGCTAAAGGAGGAAAAAAACTACCTGCCTGGTGCCTGGAACTACATTTCCCAGGCATCAGGCAATAGGAATTCAACATCCCTGCCATTAAAAAAAAAAAAAAAAAATAAGGAAAAATTCAGAAACAGGGCTGAAGATATTTTGGTAGGAATCTACCACAGGAGGGTAGGGGTTGGTGGTTTGGAACATTTAATCCATTTGCTGTCTCAGACGTAAGGTATGCGGTGAAAGAGAACCACTTGCAGCTGGCTAGTTCAGTATCCCCCACATCTGCTGCATCCCCACCACCACCAATATTGTCCCTTCTGCTGTGCGCCTGTAGACTGGGTTGCAGTGTTTCCTTTACATTACCCACTGTTCTCCCCCAGCTCTGTGTGCCCTCCAAACCCCTGGGATTCCCATCTTTTCCCTGCAGCTCTCTGCCATACCTCCTCTGAGCTCACCTTGCCTCTCCCAGGGCACCAACACACTAAAGGGTCTATTCACACAAGCAGGACAAAAATTATGGTGCACAGAATGTGCTGATATGCGTTGTGCACAAGCATTACAGTGCATTATCACAGTGTTTGATTTAAAAAAGAAAAAAAACCAAGTTACACTTACGGTAACGTCTTTTTCCAGGAGTCTTTCAGGCCAGCACTCTGAGAGACCTCGGCTCCTCCCCATCTGAGGAAACACCTCCACCTACAATAAAAAAGCTCCACTCCCCTCTGACCTCAGTTCTCCAAGCATCCTCCGGTCATCTGGGGAGACACAATGCGAGACAACATAATCATAATAAGCCATCTTCACATAACCAATATCAACAGTGGGTGGGAAACCGGTGCTGGCCTGAAAGACTCCTGGAAAAGACGTTACCGTAAGTGTAACTTGGTTTTTCCCCTACCGTCTTTCAGGCCAGCACTCTGAGAGGATAAGCGAGAGTAGACAGTACTCACCCTTCGGGCGGGCTAACTGCTTGTAAGACCTTACGACGACCAAAGTCCTGCTCCTGCACCGAGACCAGGTCCAGTCTGTAATGCTTGGCAAATGTGTCATAGCTGGACCATGTTGCCGCTCTGCAAATCTGCCCTGGGGAAACCCCTGCTAACTCTGCCTGGGTAGCCGCCACAGCTCGGGTGGAATGTGCCTTGATACCCTCCGGGACCTCCAGGCCTTCTGCCTGATATGCTCCTGTAATCGCCAGCCGCAGCCAGCTGGCCAGCGTCCTTCTAGACGCCTTCTTGCCTCTTCTAGCCCCCTTAAAAAAAACAAAAAGGGATTCGGTGCTTCTGAACTCCCTAGATTTCTCTAGATACTGGAGAACGCACCTTCTGACATCTAAACAGTGATACCTCTCCTCTGATCTACCCCACCGGTCAGGAAAAAATGAGGGAAGGACAATGTCCTGTTCCCTCTGGAAAACTCCGAGCTAGACCTACCTTCGGAATGAAGGACGGGTCTGGTCTGAAAACGATCCTGTCTGAAAAAATACGGAGATAGGGTGTTCTGATCGAGAGGGCCTCCATCTCACACACCCTCCTCGCCGTGGTAATCGCCACCAGAAAAAGCAGTCTTAATGGTGAGCTCACCTATCGGACAGGACTCCAAGGGCTCGAATGGAGCCCTAGTCATCCCCCCGAGCACCTTGGCCAAATCCCACACTGGAAATGGTCTGGACCTCGGAGGCCTCTGCCTCACCAGAGCTTTGAAAAACCTACTCACCAACGCCTCCCTGGCCAGGGGCGTCTCCAAGAACACACTGAGGGCCGAGACCTGGCCCTTGAGCGTGCTGACAGACAATCCCTTGTCCGCTCCCGCCTGCAGGAATTCCAACACAGAAACCAAACTATGGGTTGCCACAGCTGTCCGGTCACACCAGGCTGTAAAGCAACCCCAGACCCTACCATAAATGGCCTGGGGCTCCTCCTTCCTACTGGCCAGTAATGTCTCGCCACCACCCTAGGCGAGAACCCCTTTTCTAAGAGGAGCTGCTGCTCAGAAAACCAGGGCCGTTAACCGCAATCTTCCTATGCTGGGCAAAGAACCGGCCCCTGTGTTAACAAATCCACTCTTGGAGGCAGCTCCCAGGGTGGACGAGAGGCCAAACTCTTCAGGGTCGCAAACCACGCCAGCCGCCGCGGCCAGAAGGGAGCTATCAGTATTAACGAGGTCCCCTCATGTCCTGAATTTCCTCAGGACCAGGGGGAGCAAAGGAACCGGGGGAAAGGCGCGTAACAAAGCCGGTAGTCCCACCTCTGACCTAATGCGTCCACCGCTCTGGACCCGTCCCAGCGGGATAGAGAGAAGAAAATTTGGGACCTTGTTGTTCCTTCCGGAGGCAAAAAGGTCCACATCCGGGGATCCCCACCTTCGCACAATCTCCTGAAAGACATCGGGGTTCAAGGCCCATTCCGACTCCCTGAGCCGAGTCCTGCTCAGGAAGTCTGCCTTCTGGTTCAGCTCCCCCTTTAAGTGTATCGCAGACAGGGACGCCAAATTCAGTTCTGCCCAGGACAACAGTGTCGCCGCTAAGGCCCCGAGGGCCCATTGCTCCGCGTCCCTCCCTGCCTGTTTATATAAGCCACTGCCGTGGCATTGTCCGTCAGGACACGCACGTGCCGGCCCCTGACCTCCGCCTGGAAGGAGTGCAGAGCCTCCCACACTGCCCTCAATTCCTTCCAATTCGAGGATTTGTCCTTCTGCCCTAAGGACCATTCCCCCTGAGTCACCAAAATTTCCCAGGTGGGCTCCCCAGCCCCTGGCGCTGGCATCCGTAGTGACCTC